TGTCTGACCACATATCTGAGTACCGTGGCCCAGCCAAGGTGACACATAAAAGCAGCCATCACAGTGACCAACAGTAAGAAATACATTTGCATCACACCACGACTCAGTACATACTTCTATACAGCTGACACAAAAGTCTCGCTAAATTGTGCTTATCCTACCTAAATGATCCCAGGGGAGATCATTTTTCTCTTCTATTTTATTTCACTGAAACGTGTGTGACCCACTCAGATGGTTTCTGGACTCACGATGGGTTGCAGAGATGGCCTTTTGGAACACCATCTTAGAACGCGTCTTCCGAGTAGGCTGTTATTCCCGTAGCAAAGGTCCTGGGGGTTTGGGCTCTGTCCAGAGGCTCAGGGAAGTACTGTGGGCAACTGAGGGGGAGACCTGAAGAGCTTGCCGAGTCTCAGCGTGATTGTGTGTGACCTCAGCCAGGACTCGTATCGGCTCGTGCCTCAGTTTCCTTCTCCGTGATGGAGGTATCCTTATGAATACCTCTTCTACCTAACAGGGTTGCTGGGAACGATAACCTCAGAACGAGGTAATGTATATGAAAACACCTTGTAAACTCCAAAGTAATTTTGTGAGGTAATTGCTATTTTAATCTACTCTATAATAACTTTTCTTCTCTACCACTCAGGCATCTGAGAGGATGGTGCCATTTCACGAAAATTAGTTTGAGCTCTTCAAAACTTGCCACATTAAACAAAGACAGCCCCAATTTCTTTAATCAAAATGATGATCATCTCCTAAAAATGAGTCTCATCTCCCCTGGGATCATTTAGAATTAAAATCTGATTTCAAAGAAGGGAAAATTGCAGTGTGTTTGGGTTTGATTTGGAGGCTTTCACTTCTCCTGCCTTTTTGCCACTTTCCCACCCTGCCAGGTTCAGTGAGCCCTTTGGGGCGGACTGGAGATGACGTGGTCACATTACTTGCCTTTAAGAACCGGAATTGGGCTCAATGCCACCTCCAGTGCTTTGCTTCAAACCCAGCTAACTGATGTCCCGAGAGAGAAGTGGTGGGTGGGACTTGGAACTGGGATGAGGGTTTCCTAGGTCGGGTCACCACCCATGAAGACCAGTGTCCTGGCATGGAAACCATTCAGTTTTGCTGGAAGAGAACAGCCTCAGGTAGCCTGGGGGGCAGGGGAGCAGCAGCTCTGCCCACCTGTGGGCCCGCAGTTCGGGCGGGAGGGCGGTGGTGCCTGGTGGGGGTGGTGGTGCCTGGTGGGGGTCTCTTGGGAGGTGAGCTGGAGCCCACATCCTTGCTCATTTTCCTTTCTCTTCCATTTCTCTGTTGTTTGTTTTCAAATCAGTCCCTTTCGTGGGGTGTAAAACGAGAAGCTGGTTATTCCTATCACATGTCATTGTTTTCTGTGGATTCCCCACCGCTTCCAGGCACGGTCACTTCAGCATCCTCAAATGAGGGTGATATGTGTTTGAGATGCATAACTGTGTCTCATTTCAGTGCCTAACAGAAGATGAAGAATGAGCCCTGGCACCTAAGTGCTCAGTAAATTCATAATTACAGACTTCCTCGTCTCGCCTCTCACAAACGAGAGAACCGTGGCTTGGTTTGTGGGTCTGTGAGTGTGTACAGTAAGGAGGGCATGTGGCAGTCACGTCTCCCGGTGCTCGGTCTGTTCCGAGACAGGGATGCCGAAAATTGCCTCCCCAGGGTTGGTGGCTGAGCCCTGACCGGCACCTGCCCTTTTGGTTCCCAGCCCAGCTGCAACTTGGTTGTTGGTGGCAATGTTCTGAGAGCTGTGTTAGCCAGCAGAGCAGATGACACCCAAAGAGCAGGCTCCTCCGGACGGAGGCCGGGGAGCAGATGCTGAAATGGGTTCGTTTAAAGGCAGAAAAGGCTGTGGGCGGTGGAAAGAGCACTGGACTGGAGCGCGGAGCGGAAGCCCGTTCCCTCCTCGAACTCACTGCGTGGCCTCCTGCAAGTCATTCATTTCACTGGATCTCAACTTCTTTGTCTCTAAAATCAGGGACTGGGGGTCATTAAACTGGACTAGCCCTTTCAGATAAAAAACTTCTAGATTCTTCTCTGATATTTGGATTTATACAGGCAATTCAAGACGAACCATCCAGACTTCTCATCTGTCTAATTGAGATGGTATCATCAGGCACCATCACGTTATCACAACTCTAATCCTTTTAATCTTATTTAATCTTATCATCAACTATCATTTATTAAGCACTTACTGTATGCCAGGCTGAGGCTCTGTGCCAGGTGCATTCCAGTCATTAATGCTTTTACAGGTAAATAGCAGTGCCCACCTAACAGGGGTTGTTAGGTAATGCCCTGTGGGTCCCAGGGGCTTTGGTGGGGAGGTACTGATGAGTGATGTCTTGTGTTTGGGGACTTCTGTGAATTAAAATGAGCTTCCAAGGCTCTGAAATTGCCCGTTTCTAGAAAGAGTACAGATTTCGCATGTTACAAACCTGGATTTTAACTCGTCTCTGCCACTTATTATCCACATGCTTCCTCACCTGAGAGGCAGGTGAAACAGTCCCACCCCCAGAGAACAGTTGTGATGATTAGGTAAGGTAGTCGTTGTACAGACATTTGCATGGGGCCCGGGGTACCATAAGTGAGCCACAGATATTATTATTCCTCTTTGCTTCCAGCCTCTCTTTCTGCCAGTCAGAAGATAGTTCTTGAGCTTCCACTGCAGGCCAGGTCCTGGTCTGGAGCTATGGACACACTGGTGAGAGAGGCAGGCCCTCCCTGCCCTCTCGGAGCCACAGCTCCAAACTCAGTCTCTTGCGCAAAGACTAAATGGAGAGACACGCGAAGTCTCCTTCCTGGCGGCCGTTGCTCTTCAAGTTTCTTCCCACGATACCATGCATTTCAGTCTTGACTCGTTGGGGCATCCTGACAAGGCTCGTGGTTCTCCCCGTACAGCCCCGTCTTCTACCTGGCTCTCATGAGCCGTTTTTTCCAGACAGGCTCTTCCTGGTGTACGCCCTCTTTGATATGCCCAGGAATTTGCTGTGCTGACCCCTCCCCAAGGAGGCCCTCCCCTCCCAGCTCTGCATGTCCTCTCCAAGTTCATGGCTGGGCACAAATGCCACCCCCTTCCTAAGGGCTCCCACTGCCTTCTTCGTGCCTCCTCACCCCAAGTTAGAAGCCATTTTCCTCATGGGAACTCCCGAAGCACTCTGTGATTCGTCATATAACTTTTCACTGTCTGAGTAATTTTGGTTCCTATGGTGTCTGCCCGACCCAGCCTCAGCTGTCCTTGGATCCCACAGTGTCCAGCACATTCTGTGTGTGGCCTGAGCAGACATTTGCCATCTGGGGAGAATGAATAAAGGCCCTCAGCTCATAGGACTGCTGTCGGTTGTTGGGTACCCCATCTACCGGAGACTTCCTCCTCTGATACTTACGTGGGAAGACCTCTGTTTTCACTGGGATTTTGGCTGACAATGTCAAATCTTTGTTTTCTTCTTTCTTCTCTTGGTTTCTATTTGACTTCACGCTGTTTTCCTCCTGGAGAGTTTTCTATGGCTCAACAGTTACTTCTTCTTTGTTTGCGAGGTGTTTCGGGTAAATGAGAGAAATTCCATGGAGCTGAGATGCCCCCAGATAAGACGTAGGCCACTCCTGCCCTGATTTCTACTGAACTGTAAGAAATATGAAGCCATCCTCTGGAAAGACACAGAAAGACATCTCAGATAGAAATAAATGAGACCAGTAAGACGGAAAGCTGTTTTTTTTTCCCCACAGGGAGTTATTTATTTATTTCCTTGACCACTTCTTAAAGCATTCGTTCACCCCCTTTAATGAAAACCTCTCAGAGGAGGCCCCACTACGAGAGGCAGCCAAGATCTGCCTCATTAAAATGACACCAGGGCTCAGAGCTGGGCAGTGTACCCGGAGGACCTGGTTTGTTGCTGCACTGAGAAGGGATCGAGGATGTGAGTTTTGATTTGGGCTCATGCACCATCCAGCCAGCGTGGAGAGCTTCCCCTGCAGCAGGAGCAGACCCAGAGGGCCAGCTGGAAATGGACAGCCCCCCCAAAAAGCAGTGGTTTGAACTGTTCTGCTGTGTATAAACAGTAACTGTGTGCATCCCTGTCTGCCTGGATAAACTGGGATGGTTTAGTAGTTAAGACAAGAACCGGCCAGGGACTTGGACAGCTGGGTTTGAATCTACCGCTTCCACTTTTAGCTGTGCAAGTTACGTAACTTCCCAAAGCTGTCAAGTGGGGATAACAATACTACTTCCTTCAGAGGTCTAGGAGTCAGGGCCT